GTCGAAGGCAAGAACCTAGAGTTCCGTTCAAGGTCTCCCACGTGGGTGGCAGAGGCTCGAGGACTTGGGTCATCGTCTGCTTTCCCAGGTGCATTAGCAGGGAGCTGGATCAGAAGCAGAGCAGCCAGGACTGGAACTGCTGCTCCTACATGGGATGCTGGCGTCGCAGGAGGCGGCTCAGCTCACTGTGCCACAATGTCCACCCGACGAGATACTTTCTATTAATGGCAACAGGAAAACATTTCTCACCCCACATATTCTTCCAGAGCCTTAGCACATCTCTGCCAAGGGGTGGACCCATTGCCTCTTTGAAATGGAATGGGCCTGTGTGGACTTCTCCACAAAGTGAGACTAGCTGACCCTTAGGAGACTGGGGTGACATTAGGGCAGTCAACTGATAAATTGGTAGAGTAAGGCCCACCAAAGCACCACTCCTCCGTAAAGAGGAAACTGGGGAGAATTGTCAAAATCAACTTAGACACAACTTTGGAAATTAAACAAAATCTTGTGACAATCCCAAGAACATGTATTCAAATCTTGGTGATTCACAATATTTTTTTAATAACTATTTTCCCAAACATTGATTTATTTGAAAGGCAGAGTTGAGAGAGAGAGAGAGAGAGAGAGATCGATCTTCAGCCTGCTGGTTCACTCCCCAAATGGCCACAATGGCCAGAGCGGGGCCAGTCTGGAGCCAGGAGCTTCTTCTGGTCTCCATGTGGGTGCATGAGCCCAGGCACTTGAGCCATCTTCCTCTGCTTTCCCAGGTGCATTTGCAGGGAGCTGGATCAGGAACTGAACTGATGCCCATGTGGGATGCTGGTGTCTCAGGAGGCAGCCTTAGTTGCTATGCCATAGCACGGCCCTGCTTTAACTTGCCCTTGTCCATTTGCTGTTCTTAGCTCCACAGAACTCTTAAAAACCCAAACCTTTACACTACTGTACTTATGGTAACCAGCAGCACAGTAGTAAGCGGAGATCAGGAGGTGTCTCAGAACTGTCTTTATCCGGCTTCTCTGGCAGCCCCTGAAACCACCACATACAGAGCAAATCTCTTGACTCAGATTAATCGATATGACTAGTATTTTTCCTGGATTGTCAACAACAATCAGCAGCAATGGCTTAGTATCATGGCTGCCTGAGGCTGCAGTAACAGTTGGGGTAAAGAAGAGGCTCACCAAGACTTCCAGAGGAAAGCTGAGGAATCAGATGTCCATAGGTAATTAGACAGTAAAGACTCTGATGTGCTCACAGAAATTTAGAAGGCCAAGTGCATGTGAAGAGAACTCCAGTAAAGATATATATATATATATATGCCCGTGCCACGGCTCACTAGGCTAATCCTCCACCTGCGGCGCCAGCACACCGGGTTCTAGTCCTGGTCGGGGCGCCGGATTCTGTCCCGGTTGCCCCTCTTCCAGGCCAGCTCTCTGCTGTGGCCAGGGAGTGCAGTGGAGGATGGCCCAGGTGCTTGGGCCCTGCACCCCATGGGAGACCAGGAGAAGCACCTGGCTCCTGGCTCCTGCCATCGGATCAGCGCGGTGCGCCGGCCGCGGCAGCCATTGGAGGGTGAACCAACGGCAAAGGAAGACCTTTCTCTCTGTCTCTCTCTCTCACTGTCCACTCTGCCTGTCAAAAAAATAAATAAAAATAAATAAAAGGCAACTACATAAACAGTAATTACAAAGCTATACTGAGCTTTTTTGGTATGACCACAATAACAGAAACTAACGGGGAGGGGGGTAATAGAGCTCTACAGAAGCAGGGTTTTTGCATGATACTGAAAACAGATTGGTATTAATTAAAACTAGATTTTTAAAAAAGATTTATTTATGATGAAACTGTTACAAAGAGAGAGGGCCACAGAGAGGTGGTCCATCTGCTGGTTTATTCCCCAAATGGCCACAATGGTGAGAGCTGGGCTAGGCTGAAGCCAGGAGCTTCATCTGGGTCTCCCACATGGGTGGCCAGGAACCAAGCACTTGGGCCATTTTCCACTGCTTTCCCCAGGCCATTAGCAAGGAGCTGGTTGGAAGTAGAACAGCTGTGACACGAAGGGGCGCCCATTCAGGATGCTGGCATCACAGGAAATGGCTTCACCCACTATACCACAGCTATAGTTTTATGTTAAAGTGTTGATCGTAATCCCCAGGGCAACAAGTAAAATAATTAAACAATATAAAGTAAAATAAATGGCAAGAGTATTAAAATTGTATGCAATAATATATATATATTTAAAATATTTATTTACTTGAGAGGTAGAGTTACAGAGAGGGAGAGACAGAGAGAGAGAGGTCTTCCATCCTTTGGTTCATTCCCCAAATGGCTGCAAAAGCTGGAGCTTTGCTGATCTGAAGGCAGGAGCTTCTTCCGGGTCTCCCATATGGTTGTAGGGGCCCAAGCACTTAGGCCATAGCAGAGAGCTGGATTGGAAGAAGAGCAGCCTGGACTAGAACTGGTGCCCATATGGGAAACCAGCAGCACAGTTGGAGGCTTAACCCACTACACCAAAGTGCCAGCCTTCAAAAAATATATGCTTAACACAAAAGAAGTCAATAATAAAGAAGATGGGCCAGCACCGCGGCTCACTAGGTTAATCCTCCGCCTTGTGGTGCCAGCACACCGGGTTCTAGTCCTGGTCGGGGCGCCAGATTCTGTCCCAGTTGCCCCTCTTCCAGGCCAGCTCTCTGCTGTGGCCCAGGGGTGTAGTGGAGGATGGCCCAGGTGCTTGGGCCCTGCACCCCATGGGAGACCAGGGTAAGCACCCGGCTCCCAGCTTTGGATCAGCTCGGTGCGCTAGCCGCGGCGGCCATTGGAGGGTGAACCAACGGCAAAAGGAAGACCTTTCTCTCTCTCTCTCTCACTGTCCACTCTACCTCTCAAAAAAAAAAAATATATATATATATAGAAAAGCAGCAAAATCACATATGTCAACTGCACCTTAGTATTTACATTAAAATGTAAACTGACTAGACATCCCAGACAAAAGGAAGAGATTGGCAGAGGGGTCAAAAGACATGGTTCGACTACATGCTGTCTACAAGAGACTGACTTTAGATTCAGAGACATGAGTAAAAGAGCAGCAAACAATATATCATGTAAACAAATGCTCCCAGTGAGCTGGTGTCATGATACAGAGATCAGACAAAATAGACATGGAGACAAAAATTGTTTCTACAGATGAAGAAGGATATGATAAAGGGCCAAGCCATCAGGAAAATATAACTAGGTAATATACGGAGAGAGTATAAAATTGTGTAGATGTTGTATCATACCATGTAATCATATCATGTAAATGACAATACACCCAGCTTTCCCCACATTATCATTTTAATGACTCCCTGATTTTGAGACATTAATACCTATTTTTAGGTATTAATACCTAAATATAAATAACATATAAATATATACTATAAATATGTAAATCATAAAATCTATAAATATATAAAAGAAGTATAAGTATATAAATTATATTTAAATTATAAATTATTTATATAATTATATATCCATACATATAAATTATAAAATATATAAAAATTTTTTTGAGATTAATACCTGTTTTCAAGGAAAAAATAGTGTGTGTATATACGTATATAATGTCTACATTTGAAGTGGGTATGACAAAATACTAAAAATTGTTAAATTTTAAAATGTGAAAGAACACTTATAATTTAAAAAAACATATTTGCACCGAATAACAGAATTCCAAAGTAGATGGGGCAAAAACTGAAGTAGAAATAGACAACGTAATGCAAGTGGTCTTCAAAAAGTTCATGGAAAGTGTTTTGCACTAAAATAAACTTATCTTTTAATTCCATTTTTGCATAATTTTTTTAAAAAGTTTGATTTATTTGAAAAATCAGAGGGGGAGACAGAGAGAGATCGTCCATCCACGGGTTCACTCCTCAGATGGCCACCGTGGCCAGGGCGGAGTAGGCTGAAGCCAGGAGCTGGGAACTTCATCCGGGTCTCTCGTGTGGATAGCAGGGATGCAAACACTTGGGCCATCTTCTGCTGCATTTCCCAGGCCATTAGCAGGGAGCTGGATTGGAAGTGGAGCAGCCGGGACACGAACCTGCACCCATATGCCATGCCGGCATCACAGGTGGCAGCTTCACCCACTAATGCCACAGTGCTGGTCCCATAATGGCTTATACCCACTATGCTAGGCAAGCATGCCAAAACTCAGTGGTGTCAAACAACAAATTATTGTTTCTCACGACCTTGTGGCTGAACTGGATGGTTCTTGCGTTGGTCTTGCCTGCGCTGACTCAGCTGGTAGGTTGGCTGGAGCCAGAAAACCTGAGGTGGTCTCGCTTGCTAGGGAAGCCTGGAGGGTGGGGCCTCTCTCCTCATATCTGAGCTGCTTTACGTGGCGGCTGGGTGCCAGTGTACGGAGGCTTAGGGGCCTCCGGCTGGCTCGCAGTTAACGTCTATGAGCCAAGCGAGTCACACAGTCAAGCCTGGAGTCAAGGTGAGAAGAGGCTACCAAGGGCAACGCGTACCATTTACACATCATTGCTAACACAGACACAGGGCTGTTCCAGTCGTCCCCTGCGTCTGTTGAAGAATACAAGGCCACAGAGGTCAGTGAATTGTCTATGGTCCATCGCAACTAAACAGTGGCCAAGTCTAATGTTTTCAGCTCACATTCTGTGACCTCCCTCCCACCATATCACAACCTCCTCTGGGAAGACTCGAGGTGGGAAAGAGGATGTGACTCAGATAGAACTCCAACCCATGTTTTTATCTCGATGGAAATGTAATGGGCTGTTTGTTTGACTATAAAAGACACGATGAATGAGTCAGGTGCTATGGGCCGAGGAGACTGCAAATGTCTTCTTTTTGAGAGGTGGAGAGAGTGAACCAGTGAGCAAGAGAGCGCTCCTATCTTCTGGTTCACTCCCAAATGCCCGTGGCAGTGTCAGGCTGTCAGTGGGAGCTTTGTTCCCCAGCTGAAGTCACGTATTTCATCCATAATTCCCTGCCGCAGCTCTTACCTGTGTACTGTTTCCTATGGCTCGTCCTCACCTGGATCCACATGGCCTGTATGAGTGAAGCTCTCAACTAATGTTTGTTGAACAATCGAGCGAGCAGAGGTCAAGGAGGCCAGAGACAAATCCTTTCCAGATTGCCAGGCACCCTGCGGGGAATCAATAAATTACTGGGGAGTGAAGTATTAAGTGGGATGAACAATGAATTGTGTAATATTTGAGGAACAAGGAGGAGTTCGTGGAAGCAGATGTTTTTGTTAAATAGGGCAAAGTTTGTGAACGCAATGAAAACTAACAGCATTGATTTGTGGTTTTAAAAATTTGATTTGTGGATTCTTGATTTTTAACTTAAGATTTTTTTTAGATTTATTTATGTATTTGAAAGGCAGAGTTATGGAGAGGCAGAGACAGAAAGAGGTCTTCCATCCGATGGTTCACTCCCTGAATGGTTGTAATAGCCAGAGCTAGGTTGCTTGATCCGAAGCCAGGAGCCAGCAGCTTCTTCCAGGTCTCCCACGTGGGTGCAGGGGCCCAAGGACTTGGGACATCTTCTACTGCTTTCCCGGGCCATAGCAGAGAGCTGGATCGGAAGTGGAGCAGCCAGGACTAGAACCGGCGCCCATGTGGAATGCCGGCACTGCAGGTGGCGACTTTACCCATTATTGCCAAAGCACCATCCTCAAGTTAGAAGATTTCTGATTCATTTCACATGATACTCCTTGCTTTTTCATTTCACTTTGTTTCGTTGATGTCTTTTCCAGTATTTTTTACCCACGACTTCAAAAGCCCCCAGGAAAGAGTCACAGCCAGCAGTACAGTCTTCTATCCTGCTGCTGCTTCTACCCCTTTCAGACTGATGTAAAGAATTTGTTTTTGCTGGCGCCATAGCTCACTAGGCTAATCTTCCACCTGCGGCGCCGGCACCTTGGGTTCTAGTCCCGGTTGCTCCTCTTCCAGTCCAGCTCTCTGCTGTGGCCCGGGAGTGCAGTGGAGGATGGCCCAGGTCCTTGGGCCCTGCACCTGCATGGGAGACCAGGAGAAGCACCTGGCTCCTGGCTTCGGATCGGCGCAACGCCGGCCACAACGCACCAGCCATAGCGGCCACTTGGGGGGTGAACCAACAGAAAAAGGAAGACCTTTCTTTCTGTCTCTCTCTCTCACTAACTCTGCCTGTCAAAAATATAAATAAATAAAAATTTTAAAAAGTAAAAAAAAAATTTGTTTTTGCTACAACTGGAAGTGAAGTATCCCAAAGAAAATTTGTTGAAAACCATAGGAGAAGGCAGATTTTGTCTCTAGGGATATTGAACCATAGAGGGTTTGGACTCTGACAATTCCAGGCCCAGCAGCAAACAGGAGTGAAGCAAAAATTAAATTTAAAAATTAATCTTAAAAAAATTAAGGGTGGACTCTAGGCCTGTTTTGGTTAGGACACTGGTTAGTTGTCTGCATCCTCAATCAGAGCGCCTGGATTTGATGCCCAGTTCCCTCCCCTGCCTGCAGCTTCCTGCTATTGTAGGTGATGCCCACACAGTTGGGTCCCTGCCACCTATGAGAGACCCGGGTTGAGTTCCTGGTTCTTGGCTCCAGCCTGGCCCAGTCTCCACTGTCGCAGGAATTTGGGGAGTGAACCAGCGGATGACATCTCTCTCTCTCTCTCACTCACTCACTCAGATAAATACATATTCATACTGAATGTGGCACCTCCAGCAATCTGTGAATGGTATAGTTAAGCAGCTTTGTTTTCTGCAAGGGGAAAAACAAACCTCCAGCCATAAGAGAGAGTAGATTTTTGTTGTTGACTTCCTAAAAAGAACACGGATTTAAAGTGGCAATTTACCATCTATAGGAAACATAGAAAAAGGAGAAGTGAGGTTAGAGCCATTTCTCACTATTCAGAATCACGGAGATCACAGGCAAAACCATGAAGTTCATGCTGTGTGTGGTAACTCACAAATGGGCAGTTTTATTTCCTTAGCATCCCCAACATTCAAAGGAAAACCACTGAGAGCCGCCCACAGTCTCCCGATGGCCTGGGCAGGCAGTGGCCAGCAGGAGGCTCCAGGATTCCAGATTTTACTGGCCTTCCTCCAGATGGTCTGTAGCTCACGTGGACTTTGTCCCCAGGAAACCCGCAGGCAGGTCAGCCAGGCTGCTGGTACAGGTGGGACTGAATGGCTGATGGTAGCAAGCCCAGGGAGGCGGGGCCAGAGCGCCAGGAAGCTGACGCAGATTTCAGATGCGCTCTGGACTATGTCTTCACCCCAGAGACTGTCTCTCTGGTACGATTTCCGGCCACACCAGGAGCCCTGCAGCGGAAGTGCAGATACTTCTCTTGCTGGTGGCTGACTTGCCGCACACTTGGTTGAAAAGAGCCTCTGCGTGTTTCATCTCAACTGAGCGAGTAAGGTGTGGGTATCACTGACGCTGAGTTAGGGAGGAGCGAGCCAGGACTGAGGGAGCTCACCCCAGAGGCAGGTGGCAAGGCCAGGGCTAGACCCCAGATCTTCCAATTGAACATCCGGGCAGGCACACAGGGTTCCCAGGGCCCCCAGCCAGCCTGAGCTGGGCCTTGGAACTCTCAGGGCAGCCAGGTCATCAGCCCACCCCTGGCTCTGTGAGCCCCACGCTCGGGGCAGCCCTCCCTTCTCATCCCTCACTGCAGCGCTGACAGCAGCCTGAGCAGGGGGCTGTGGCAGAATCGACTGTAAACCTTTACGGTGTCAGACAATAAGGCACGTGCTGGGGACAATGTACAGGTGCCTGGTTTGGCGGTCGGGAGGCCCTGGATGGGCTGTAGGGCTGGGGGGACCTGCTGGACCCATCTCTCCCCATGGCCACATCCTGGGGGATGAGGTTCCGCGCCTCCTGACTCACCCTGGTCTGTCTTTACCTTGGTGATTCTCAATCAGGGGCTCTTCTATCCCAGAGGATATTAGCAGTATCTGCAGACAGTAGGCACAGGGTCGTCAGCATAGGGGTGTGGTGGCTTTGCAATGTCAATGCCAAACACCCGCTGGGGTCTTTTGGCGATGTGCTTTTCAGCAGCAAAGAACATGCGTAGGAAAACGGGTGATTTTGCTATAAAATCCAGCCATTCCCCCAGCTTCTGTCATCTAACAAGCATGGAAACAGAAAAATTGGATTCCGAGGCAGGTGCCCTCACAAGACACTGAAGAAAGGAAGGAAGCAGCTCAAGTTTTCCCTGAAACCTGGAATCACCCAGGAGGCCACAGACGGGACCACGGACAGGCAGCGGGGACAACTGTCTTGGAGTCCCTGCTGTGGGCCAGGTGTCACCTGCCTTGATCCTCACCCCATGACAGGAAGGGAAGGTGAAGAAACAAACTTGGGGCTGGTGCTATGGCATAGCAGGTAAAGCTGCCGACTGCCACACCTGCATCCATGTGGGCACCTGTTCGAGTCCCGGCTGTTTCTCTTCCAATCCAGCTCTCTGCTATGGCCTGGAAAAGCAGTAGAAGATGGCTCAAGTGCTTGGGCCCCTATATCCACGTGGGAGACTTGGAAGAAACTCCAGGCTCCTGGCTCTGGATCAGCTCAGCTCTGGCCATTGTGGCCAATTAGGGAGTGAACCAACGGATGGAAGACCTCTCTCCCTCTCTATCTCTGCCTCTGCCCCTCTATAACTCTGCCTTTCAAATAAGTAAATAAATCTTCAAAAAATTTTATTTTTAGAGTTTTATTTGAGAGCTAGAGTTACAGACAGTAAGAGGGAGAGACAGAGAGAGAGAGGTCTTCCATCTGCTGGTTCACTCCCCAAATGGCTGCAATGGCCAGAAGTGAGCCGATCCGAAGCCAGGAGCCAGGAGCCTCTTCTGGGTCTCCCACATGGGTGCAGGGGCCCAAGGACTTGGACCATCTTCCACTGCTTCTCCAGTCCATAGCAGAGAGCTGGATCGGAAGAGGAGCAGCCAGAACTCAACTGGTGCCCATATGGGATTCCAGTGCTAGAGGTGGAAACTTAGCCCACTATGCCACATCACGTTTTCCAATAAATAAATCCTTAAAATAATAACAATAAAAAGAAAGAAACTTAAGCTCAGAGAGCCAAAGCAGAATCCCTAACATCATGTGGCTTATGAGGCGAGACAGCCAACATTGAACTCTAGGTCTGTGCAGGAGTGAGAGTATCCTTTCTACTATGTCTTGCTTGCTTCAAGGAACATAGATCTCATAAGCTGCATTTCTTTTGTGTGTATGTGACACAATGTGTGTGTGTTACACAGTTTTTAAAAGTTTGAGGTAAATACACTTCATGTATTTCATATGTACAGATTCAGGAACACAGTGATACTTCCCTCCCCACCCTTCCTCTTCCTTCCTCTCGTAACTCTCATAAGCTGCACTTGAGACTTGCACATGGTCGGCAGATACTGCTTGATGGGGCACAGTGTTCCCGTTTGGAATGATGGAAAGTGCTGGAGCTGGGTGGGGATGAGGGTTGCACAACAGTGAATGCATTTGATGCCACTGACCTGTGTTCTTACACATGATTAGAGTGCTGCTGTGTACATCTTACCATAGATTCGTAAATACTGTTAACAACTTACATTTTGGATGACCCCATGAACCTTCCCCTCTCCTTCTTCCACTCGTGTATTTTATTATTTTTTTAAAAAAGATTTCTTTATGGAGTTGACACTGTAGCACAGTAGGGCAAGCCTCTGCAGCATCGACATCCCATATGGGTGCCGGTTGTAGTCCTGGCTGCTCCACTTCCAATCCAGCTCCCTGCTAATGGTCTGGGAAAGGAATGGAAGACGGACCAGGTGCTTGGGCCCCTGAACCCATGTGGGAGACCCAGAAGAAGCTCCTGGCTTCGAATCTGCTCAGTTCCAGACATTGTGGCCCTTTGGGGAGTGAACCAGCGGATGAAAGACCTCTCTCTCTGTTTCTCCCTCTCTCTAACTCTGCCACTCACATACATAAATCTGAGAGTTACAGAGTGAGAAAGGGAGAGACAGAGAAAGGATCCTTCACCCCCTGGTTCACTCCCCAGATGGCTGCAATGGCCGGGCACTTCATCCATCTCCCACGTAGGTGGCAAGGATCCAAGCACTTGGCCATCTTCCACTGCTTTTCCTAGGTCATTAGCAGGGAGCCAGAGTGGAGCAGCCACGACACACACCAGCCCCCATTTGAGATACTAGCCTTGTCCTAGGGAGCAGCTTTACCTGATATGCCACAAAGCCCTCCCCTAAAGATGTATTTGTTTATTTGAAAGGCAGAGTAACAGAGAGGGATAGGCAGAGATCTTCCATCAGCTGGTTCACTCCCCAAATAGTTGCAATCCAGGCCAAAGCCAGGAGCCAGGAACTTCATCCTGGTGTTCCATGTGGGTGGCAGGAGTCCAACTTCTTGGTCCACCTTCTGCTGTCTTCCTAGGCAGATTAGCAAGAAGTTGGATCATAAACAAGGCAGCCAAGGCTTGAATGGACACTCCACTATGGGACGTAGCTTAGCAAGTGGAGGCTTAACTCCCTGCTCCACAGCGCCAGCCCCAAGAAGGTTCTTAAGAGGAAACATAGCATAGAGAGAAGCACATGAATATGAGAAGAAAATTACTGGGGCCGGCACTGTGGCGCAGCCGGTTAATGCCCTGGCCTGCAGCACCAGCATCCCATATGGGCACCGGTCTAGTCTCAGCAGCTGCTCCACTTCCCATCTGGCTCTCTGTTGTGACCTGGGAAAGCAGTAGAATATGGCTCAAGTCCTTTGGCCCCTGTACCCAAGTGGGAGACCCAGAAGAGGCTCCTGGCTTCGGATTGGCGCAGCTCTGGCTGTTGCGGCCATCTCGGGAGTGAACCAGCGGATGAAAGACCTCTCTCTCTCTCTCTCTCTCTGTCTCTACTTCTCTCTGTAAATCTTTCTAATAAATAAAATAAATTTTAAAAAATACATTATTTCAAAAAAAAAAGAAAGAAAATTTCATACTTCCTGGCAAGAAAAGGTTAACTATGAGTTAGCATTATAAAATTTAAATCATTGCAGGATGTTTGCAAAATGGAGCAGGAAAAAAATACCTAGCATTCTAACACCACTATATCATTATTTCTGAGCATTTCCTTCCAGGAATTCGATTTAATCCCACTTTGTTCGGGTCATCACTCTGCTGAGAAACCTGAAGTGACTTCACAGTGCATATAAGTGAGGTCCGAATCCCTTAACCTGCCATTCAGATTCCTTCTGATGCCAACATCACCTGCCAATATTACCTTTCAGAATGCCGCTAATGAACCCTGGGTTCTGGTGGAGCCATTCTGCTCACTGTCTCTGACAGCGACCTTGATCTTTCCCCTATTTGCCAATGCCTCTTGGAACCTCCCCTCCCACACCTCTCCTGCTTTCTAACAGAGCTGTCTTGTGAGATCCAGTGGGATTCTGTTTCCTCTGGCTTCCCGCTGGCCAGCCCAGCTGATTGTGAGTCATCTGTCCTGGGAAAGCCTTAGCTAAGTATTGTCCTGCTAATGCGCTGGACGATTAACCACTGGCTGCTTCCTAGCTTTTATTATTGCCTCCAATATTTATAGAAATCTTCATTGGTACATTTTTTAAAAAATTAAGATTTAAGGCCGGCGCTGCGGCTTAATAGACTAATCCTCCGCCTAGCAGTGCCGGCACACCGGGTTCTAGTCCCGGTCGGGGCGCCAGATTCTATTCCAGTTGCCCCTCTTCCAGGCCAACTCTCTGCTGTGGCCGGGAGTGCAGTGGAGGATGGCCCAGGTGCTTGGGTCCTGCACCCCATGGGAGACCAGGAGAAGCACCTGGCTCCTGCCTTTGGATTAGCACGGTGCGCCAGCCACAGCGCGCCGGCCGGGGTGGACATTGGAGGGTGAACCAACGGCAAAGGAAGTCCTTTCTTTCTGTCTCTCTCTCTCACTGTCCACTCTGCCTGTAAAAAAAAAAAAATTAAGATTTATTTATTTGGAAGGTAGAATTAGAGGGATGGAGTGGGGGTGAGGGAGGGAGAAATGGAGAGAGGGAGAAGGAGAGATCTTCCACCCATTAGTAAACTCCAAATAGCAGCAATGAACCTGAAACTCTGTCCAGGTCTCCCATGTGGGTGCAGGCCATCTTCTACTGCTTTCCCTGGCACATTAGCAGGAAGCTGGATTGGAAGTGGAGCAGCCAGGACTTGAAACAGTGCTCTGTGGGATGCCAGTGTCCCGGATGGTAGGTTAACTCGCTGGCCCCTCATTGGTACTGTTGTGTGTTTATGTCTCATCTCCTTAAATACAAGCTCTTTAAAAGGAGGAGCTATAAGTGTTCCTCAGCTTGTGACAGGCCTCTGTCCTGACAAACTCGTTGTAAGCTGACCACGCCTAACCTACCACCTGCCCTGGCTCAGCAGCGCATTGTGCTGTACCGTGTACCGGGTCAGCGCTTTTTCCTTGCGGCCCTGGGGCTCCCTGTGAGCTGCGCTCTCCAGCACTGTCCAGCGCCGTGAGACCGCAACTCACCAGCTCAGGGAAAGATCGGAGTGCAACACTGGACATTCAGTTTCCAATGAGTGCTTTTCACTTCTGCGCCGCGGTAAAGCTGAAAAATCTCACCCTAAAAATGGCAAGCACTCAGAAAAGTACTAAATGAACATAAGGGAGTGCTTCCAAAAGTTCATGGAAAATGAAATGGAAAGAGAAATCCATGCCTATAAGGGTCTCCAAAAAAGCTCATGGAAAATGTGTATTGTGAAAAAAAAAAAAAAACTATGCATGAATTTCAAAATTCTTTGCACCCAAGCAAACTTACCTTTTAATCCCATTTCCCATGAACTTTCTTTATAAATTTATGTGAGAGGCAGACAGACAGACAGATCTCCCATCCACTGGTTCACACTATAAATGCCTACAACAGGCAGGACCCCAGTTACTTGGGCCATCACCACTGCCTCCCAGGGTCTGCATTAGCTGGAGTTGAGAGCCAGAGCTGGGAGTCAAGTGCAGGTAGTCTGATCTGGCACTCACTGAGCTAAATGCTGCCCCTCCATGAGCTATCTGGAGTACTCTTATACAACTTGCTAACTCCATCATAAGACAAAGATTCTCACTCCTCCACCAGAGTCAAGCCAGTAGCCAACACCTGCTGGTACGTGCCCAGATGTGAGATTCTGGGCTAGGTGCTACCTTTGAAGATCCATCCTCAGACTCACCTTTCTGCCCACTGTGCACCCTTCCTGCCTTTGCACAAATGTGGGGAAAATGGCTGGTTCATTAGAAACATTTTAGAAGCTGTCATTTCAGCCTTCAGGGGCAGCAACATCATGGCAAGAGCCCTCAGCATCACACACGGGTTCTGCCTCCTGCATCCCAAGACACTTGGCAGAACGGGTCAAGGTCAGTTTCTGTGGGCAGCTGAGCCTATAGTCAGGTCTCTGTTCTTGCTCCCCTGTGCCTACAGGGGTCAAGTCCATTAGCTTTTTTTTTTTTTTCTTTATAAGAAAAAGACTTATGTATTTGAAAGGCAGAGTTAGAGAAAGAGAGAGACAGAGAAAGGGGGTGGGGGAAGGACTGAGAAAGAGAGATCTGCTGGTTCACTCCCCAAATGGCCACAACAGCTCCAAGCAAGGAGCCAGGAGCTTCCTCCATGTTTCCTACAGGAGCCAAAGGATTTGGGTCATCTTCTACTTTTTTCCCAGGTGCATTAGCAGGGAGCTGGATCAGAAGCGGAGCAGTTGGGACCTGAACTGGCACCCATATGGGATGCTGGTATCACAGGTGGTGGCTTAACCCACTGCACCACCACACCAGCCCTCAGGTCAGTTATCTTGAGGCCAAGGCACCTCAGATACAAGAAGTCACAGAGCACAAAGTCCCACTGCATCTTCTGGTCCTGAAGCCACATGCTTTCACCCACTTCCCACATGGAGGACATGGCCCTCGTTAATGAAGTCATGCTTTGTCTCCGTCTTGACTGTTTTTCCCCTGCATGTAAGTCCCTTGGAGATATGGGCTACAAGACTAAAGATGTCCTGTGTTCCTGGCAATAATGCAATCAAACACTGGCAAAAATCTCACTTCTAATACTGCCATTATTTAAGTACTGTAGTATAGAACCTTTAAAATGTCTTTGTATAAATTGAACTTCTTTTAGAATATGCTTTTTTTTAAGTATATTGACAGACTTGGGGTGGGGGGAGATTTTTCTTTTGCTGATTCACCCCTCAACACACACACACACACACAATAGCTGCAATGGCCAGGTCTGGGCCAGGCTGAAGCCAGGAGCCTGACGCAGCTCCATCCAGGTTTCCCACATGGGTGGCAGGGGTCCAAGCACTTGGGCCATCTTCTGCCTACCCAGGCCATAGCAGAGAGCTGGACTGGAAGTGGAGCGGCCGGGACTAGAACCGGCACCCATGTGGGATGCCCGCGCTGCAGGCAGCAGCTCTACCCACTACACCGCAGCGCCGGCCCCTGGACAACTTCTCACCAGCCAGAATGGCCAGGAGGTAGCTCTGGGGGGGGGGTTTGCTTTCGGCCTCACGCTGTCTCTGTTATTGTGAGCTTCTCGCTCTATGCCTGGGAGATTTCTGAAATTTTACTGGCAGTGGTTTGCTCCAGGTTTTAAAAAAAACTTATACAATTTAGCAAAACATCCTAGCGCAAGTGGACACAGATTTGAGGGCACTGGAAGAGGAGGAGGAGACAGCAGTGGGAAACTTCTAGAGCAGCTCCTGCTCATGCTAACCACCAACTGCTTAGTGCACTGAGCGCTTGGATGGCGCTCTATGACGTCATAGAACAGACGGAAGCCGAGGGGCTCCAGGAAGGGCCCAGGAAGCCGCCAAGCCCCCTTCCTCCGGGAAATGGCGGGTGTGTGCCGTGAGAAGGAACCAGCAGGGGCCCCGTTTCAGGAGAGAGGCCCATGTCCCCAGAAGTCTGGGAACTGAGCAGAGGGGACGCGGATAGGGAGAAGGGGCCAGCCGCTGGGAGAGGTGACCCACGTGCCTTCTGCGGTGCTCCAGCCATCCCCGGCCGTGAGCCAAACACATGCTGGATGCGGCTTCCTGGATGATGTCATGATTACTGAACTTTGTGACTGAAACCCAATTTCAGTTCCACATTCCGGAATGCAATGTTTGCTTAAGTTGGGAAGAATAAACATTAGCGGAGGTGATCTCTGGGTGGCAGGTTTATGGTATTTTCTTCTTGCTTTATTGTATTGATAACGAACATGTGCCACTTGTATATTTTTTTTATTTTTTTTAAGCACTAGTTTTTTGTTGTTGTTGTTGTTGTTGTTTTAAGGCTTGGTAATTGCTCCAAGATTTATTTAAACTTATATTTGAGACACTGGGCAGAGGATGCATATGCTGTGAAGCTTGGAATTAGAAGAATGAAGGAAAGAGGAAAGATAAAGTCTGTAAGAATTTAGACTGGAAAGATGGTGGTTGGATGAATCTGTGGCCCAGTGACATTATCAAGAAAATGATTTCAGGGCTGGCGCTTTGGCGTAGCAGGTAAAGCCACTGCCTGAAGTGCTGGCATCCCATATGGGCGCTGGTTTGAGTCCCGGCTGCTCCACTTTCAATCCAGCTCTCTGCTATGACCTGGGAAAGCAGTGGAAAATGGCTCAAGTCCTTGGACCCCTGCACCCATGTGGGAGACCCGGAAGAAGCTCCTGGCTCCTGGATTAGCACAGCTGCGGCCATCTGGGGAGTAAGCCAATGGGTAGAAGACCTTTCTCTCTCTCTCTCTCTGTCTGTCTCTGTCTCTGTCTCTAACTTTGCCTTTCAAATAAATAAATCTTAAAAAAAAAAAAAGCTGATTTCTCTCTCCCCCCACCCCCACCTCCTTCTTCAGTTTCACCTTCATCCTAAACTGACTTCATATACAGGCAAAAAAAAATTGTTATAGTAGTTCAGGTTTCAGATCTCACTATACCATCTATTTTTTTATTTTATTTTTTTTTAATTTTTGACAGGAAGAGTTGACAGTGAGAGAGAGAGAGAGACAGAGAGAAAGGTCTTCCTTTGCCTTTGGTTCACCCTCCAATCGCCGCCGCGGCCGGTGCACTGCAGCCGGCGCATCGCGCTGATCCGGAGCCAGGAGCCAGGTGCTTCTCCTGGTCTCCCATGGGGTGCAGGGCCCAAGTACTTGGGCCATCCTCCACTGCACTCCCGGGCCACAACAGAGAGCTGGCCTGGAAGAGGGGCAACCGGGACAGAATCCGGCACCCCGACCGGGACTAGAACCCAGTATGCCGGCACCGCAAGGCGGAGGATTAGCCTAGTGAGCCGCGGTGCCAGTGAGATCTCACTATACCATCTAAAACAATGTTGTCCAATAGAAACATCATGCAAGCTACTGTAGTCTGTTTTATGCTGTTAGAATAAAATGCCACAGCCTGGCTGATTTATCAAGAACCCGCGTTTATTTTCTCATGGTGCTAAAGACTGAGACGTCGAAGCTGAAGGTACCAGCAGGTTAGGCTGTCTGATAAAGGCTGTGTTCTCCCAAAGGGAGCAATGCTGCATCTTCCCAGGGCAGAAGACAGAGGGAGCAAGCTA